TATTAAGCTCACGTAAATGCACTCAAGGACTTGAGGGGAATTCTATTGACTTCTCTAATTTTCTGAATAATTCAGTGGTTGAGAAGCAGACAAAGTTATACAAAGTATTTTGATGTGAAACAGTCTTTACATTGGTGGTGATAGAAACCAGGGGTTGTGATGTCTACAACATATATCTAATGCTGATAATGGTTAAATAGTGGTAAATTAAAAAAGTTGCGTTTGGGACATATTTGATTTGTGATGTCCTGCATGTACCTCTCAAAACAGACATCAGGCAGCATATTCATAACCATTTCATCTGATAACTTTCTGTGAGGGAGCTTTTAGAAGCATTAAACTCTTCAGATGTCTGGTTCCTATCACCACCACTGTGAACAATTCTGACTCGGTAAGTTGATCTAAAATAGAGCATTTCACATTAAACCACTCTGAATGACTTTCTTTATGTCTCAACTACTTGATTATGCAGAGACATTGGAAAATCGATGGAATCAGTAACTAAAACATAGTGACTAAAATGAAACTGAGTAAAATTTAGATCACATTCTTCACAAATATAGCTGCTCTTATGCAAAAGTAAAAGTATTATAATTTGAAAATACTCAAAAAAGCATAAAAACATACTTAAGTACATATATTATATAGTACAGATTTTAAGGAGACCTTTGGGAAGTTGTGGACTGACCTGTGTTTGAGATGCTTTTGTAGATTATTTGTGTTTAGATGCTTTGTTCTTTAAACCAACAAACTAACAAACACTATCTGTATCTTCATATTGATATATCAGCCCTAATTGCTTTTTCTGCCTTAGCCTGATGGTTTCCTTGGATTCTGGCCTATTTATGCAACTAGCATAAGGATATGTTTTCTAGATAGACAACAAAGCTCAAAGCTCTCTGGATAAGAGTGTCTCCCAAATACTGTAAATGTCAAGGCAAATGCTGGGCTAGATTGGCACATGAAGGATGTGAAGAAAGATTTGTGGCAGCAGAACCTTTTTTAATGAGAAACGCTTGAGGACCTGTACAACATAGGTGGTCATATGCAGTTATATTCTCTTGATACTATAGAGAAGGGATTGGTATTGTGTAGTAGTTGTTCTAACTATTTTTGGGAGATCTACAATCTAAACAATCTAATGTTCATTTGAAGACTTGTAAAGAGAATGGGGGAAATAAACTGTGATCTCAGAATGCTGTCAGCCAGGGTATATGGAGAACATGGAGAACATGGATGTGGATATATGGATGTGCCAGATAGCCTTGCTATCCATACTGTCAGAGATATTATTCTACTGGAAGAGAGTCTATTTGATTTTTGACAGAAATTGGAGAAACTGAATTCAGCCTGAAGTCTGTAGTGAAAAGAAGTCAAAGAGGGGGATTAAAGTTAACTTGAATCAAAAATCATAACACGTTTTCCAAGTGAAACACAGAATCAGGGAGGGTCTCTAAACTTCAGCATTTTCACTCAATGATAGATGGAGGTGGTGAGAGAGGGAGGTGAAATATTGTTATTAGGTTATTGGTTAATATTTTTTATCCCTGCCCAGTGGTGCACGGTGACGTAATTCGAAAGCCTGAAGCCGTTTTAGAGGCGAAGAGACGTCACTACACTTCAATTTAAGATTATGGGAAAACAAGAAGTTTATGTTTAAATGGTATGATATGTTTAATATGACCAGCACCATAAACTAACAAGGTAAACTAGAAACCTACAATTTGTGAATGAACTACATTTGTTTGACAAAGCTGTTGCTTTGGGATTCAATGTGGTTGCTATGGTGTTGCTAGGCCTTTGCAATGGTTCGCCAATAGCTCAGTTCTTGTATCCCAGCTAGTTGCTAAGGAGTTGCTAGGCTCCACCTTCTCAGGAGGTTATTAAGGTGTTGTTAGGCTATTGTTATGTTATCACATGTGGTTGCTAAGGTGTTGCTAGGCTGTTGCAATGCTGTCTCAGATGGTTGCTAAGGCGTTTCCATGCCATCGCTATTGCATTGCAGGTGGTTGCTAATGTGTTGCTAGGCTGTTGCTATGGTATCCCAGGTGGGTCCTAATATGTGTTTATATTGTGCTAGTATGTATGTGAGTCTGTATGTAACGTCTATGTGAGGCAGTGTGAGAGACCTCCTTTGTGACATCATCTGTGGCAGACTCAACATCCACCATTCATTTCCTATGGGAAAAAAATGTGTTTGAATAAACACTCAATGAAAACCATCTGTGCAGAAGCACAAACACACTTTTCCTTATACGCTTTACAATTCTGTTTTTTGGTTCTAGCTTGAAAACTGCAGCCCGTTAAAATAATACAAAAATAAATAAATAGCTCAACAAATAATAAAACAAAGAACAGCAACAGTAAAGACGAACAAAATTTAAAATTGCAGTGGCTATGCACTGAAGATACGAAACATAACCTTTTCTGTCTTGGTAATAATGCTGTACTGCTGCTTGGTGGTGTTTCCTCAGGCCTGGGTTTATGATGCAGAAATTCAGCCACAGAAATTGTGGCCAGGTTGTATAGTGTGTTATGGATTTAATCAGTTCACATAAGCTCATTTTCTGTATTAAATTAAGAAGCTTATCTAGGATCTAAATGAAATGGAATGGTTTCCCTAAGGAGAAAGATTTCAATGTATTGTGTTCATAGCTGGCTGCATGTCCTGGCTTTTGTCTAATTACCACAATGTTTATAGCGTTGCAACTGATGGCACCTTGCTGTAACAGTGCTTTGATTGAGGTAATTATCTTCTGAAGTCGGTGCTGTTCAGGCATGCCATGTTTAAAGGATGGAGTTCAGTTGGCTTTTTCTCTCTCTCTCTTACTATTTCCATACGACTCAGAAGAAACTATATCTTGATGTGACACTCTGATGTAAGTGTTGAGTACAATTTCAAAATTGTAAGCACTATATTTACATCTATCTTTCATCAAACATAATAAATAGTATTTAAATGGAAACTTTGTTTCTTGTTGTCATTATAATAGCACACTGTAGGTCATCAGATCACATGATAATCATCTGTATTCATGCAAGGAGATATGCTCTTTTGACCTATACAGAATTGTTTGTGACTGTTCACAACTCTTACAATGCAATACATTCACTTATAATGGTGTGAAAATATTTTTTAAAAAGCTGTATTTACATATAGAAAAGTCAGTATGGCATGCTAAAGCCATCAGTATGCCATTGGAGCAGAACTGGTTGTGGAAGAATGCTAATTATGCTAATTATGTTACATTTAATTATAAATAAATTTGTTTTGTTTTGTAACTAAGTTGTTTTGAGTCATCTACATCATTCGGTCAGTCTATGGCAAGAGGATCAGTTGTAGCACCACATGACCTCCATCAGTAAAAACAGCACCCCTCAAACATGGTATTAAAACATAATTATAGCTCTCAACATGTTGTCATAAGGTTCAAACAAAAGAAAATTGGGTTGCTGTCAAATGAATTGCTTTTGTGGTTTTCACAAGCCTGCTAATATTCATGCTTCATGCATATGCAATGAATTGCTTTTGAACGACGGGGGAAATTTGTTTTGCTGCACTCTAAGGGGCGTGCAAAATGTATTTGCTTTCCTTTGATTAGCTGATATGTTATAGTAACGTTCAAATCACCAGCTGATGATTTAGCAAAGCTCATAGTTTTTTTTCATTTAGTATCCACACTTAAGCCAAACATATTAAGACATGGTGAATACAAATGCATGTAAGGTTTAGTTGTTTGCTATCTGTGGTTCTTGGATCAAAAAAATGTAGAATTTCTCAGCTCAGATGTTGCAGCATGCAAACATCAACCACCATAACTGTTTCGCCTTGCTCAGCTGATTCCTATCTAACATCTTCTGAGACAAACCATATCAGACAATTATAAAAGCCAAGGTTATCTGGAGCAAGTTAAGAGGAAATCAAGTTTCGTGCTGGGGTCCCACTGGATCACCGCTTGGGAGAAAATTGCTTAAACACACCTTGCTTTAACAGTGCTTAAATTGAGGCCAGGTCTGACTGCACATTGCACACATTTCACCAATTACCACGTTCAGTGTGTTGGGTCTCTCTTCTTACATTTGCTAACAACTAGCCTTGTATGCTAGCACCGTATGCAGTCAGCTACAGTCCAACACTAGAGGCGGCTCTTCGAATGCGCCATCTCAAATGACTGTTTATGGGACTCGGCCCAAGTAATTGTTAGTGCTGGAGAAGCTACCACAGCAGCAGAGGGAGATAAAAAGAGGCTGTAATTGCCGTTTTCAGCAAAGTAATTACGGCCATTTTGCAACATGACTGAGCCCTGGCAGGCCTCTTGTTCCCTCTGAATGCACGGCAGAGGTAAACAAGTCACCATGGTAATGGTGGCATGATGAGACATCTCTGACTTACCCTGGCACCATGGAGCCTCACCCTGCAGGAGGGACGCCACTTCTCTGTTGTCTGACAGTGGGGCAAGAATTCGTGCAATTATCGCAGCGCGACCCAAAAAATCCAAAACGCTCATAATGAACCCAGATCTCATTAATAGTCTTTCAAGACTATGAGGTCTGAAAGGAAAACCAAGACCCTCACTGTTATGATTGCTGTGCCATTTATAAAACTGATTTGCATTATAAAAAGGTACTTTTAAACATTCCTATTGTGATTAGTCATACTGCATGTTAACTGAATAACATGTTGGGGCCCCTTGCGTGGTCTGCGGGGGAAGAGGATTGCACTATGTAGCAATGAGACAGCACTTTAATGGGACTGCCTTGGCCTGTTGCGCGCTCTGAGTGGAAGAAAACGAGGCAATTACTTTGCGCAAAGGAGCTCAAATGTCTCTTGGCTGGCCCCGACTCAAGAGGTGTACAAAGGTTTTTCTATCTGAATTCCTCATCATTGTACCTCAGTCAGACTCCATTCCAGTTGTAAGTGTTATCTCAATACCACTGTGACTAAGAGCAACAGACCGTGATGATACACTGTAGTTGCAGGTGATCATTCTGAAAAAGAAAGTCAACAACGTTTTATTGGGAAATTTTATTGGGAAAATATTATAAAAATCATTTAAAAAAGTATCTGTGAAGTGCGAATGAATTTTTGCATGTACATACATTTAAACTCATCTATGTGAGAATACATTTTTTAAACAGTGGCATAGTGGGTCACTTTAAATAAAACACATGGTGTATAATAAATAAATTCTATTATTTTTGTATTCAAAATCACATTAATTGTTATCATATCTACTATGTGTGCATATGATTATTAGTTCATACCATAGCTTATCAAATAGGCTGATGTAAAAAAAAAAAAAGATTTCTGCTGCACGTTTTAAAAGGATTTCTGAAAAATTGGTAAATCAGCTCTACAAAATGCCTGTGGTGTGTTTTAATATAAAACAATTGTTCTTTCATTGATAAGCATATTTTAATGGTATTGCTATGGCCTTAAATACTTACATTCAATGTAAAGCAACAGTCTTGGGTGAAAGAACCTACTGAAAAGCCTATAGTGAGCAGAAACATCTAAGAAAAAGAACTCTGTGAACCTTAATAAATCTCTGCAGATCAAACCTGGGAGAGATTTCTGTTGTATGTTGTTTGACTCTTGTGGTATGTGATGATACCATCGTGGAATTAAATTTCTGGGAGATGTGTTATCATTTGCTATCATGGATTGCTTACTGTGTTTTAAACAGCACCAGTAGGGAACAGTGATGTAACAGGAGTTATTTGAATGCTTGATCTTATAAACAGATGGGTAGATAACAATGTGTACTCCACTGAGATACACACAGTAACGTTCACTCCCTCTGCTGCTTTGGAAAGCACACAATGTCATAATCCTGTGCTAACAGTGCTAGTTCTCGAAGCTGACTGGTAGCTTAAAGTCCAACACACAGCACTACAAGCAAATGTGAATTAAATCAAAAGCTCTTGGTCAAGCTGCCTGAAAACATGAGTGACATATTCGGTCTCACATACAGGCATATGCGAAAGTTTGAACACCCTCTGTTAAATTAACAAATCCTCCACAGAGAACACATGTAAATATGGTACTTTCTGCTAATTTTAGTGCACAATTTCTATTTATTTGCTGAGTTTAACTTATTGGAAAAATAAAACATGAAATCTAAAATGTGCCATAACTTTAGTACGTCTTATTTTTTTCTCTGTTAAATTCAGCAAATAAACAGTAATTGTGCACTGAAATGTGCAAAAGCGTGTTCTCTGTCAAGAATTGTTGACTTTACACTTAGAAAATCAACACGTTATTTGACTAGGGGCACCCAAAATTTTGCATATAACTGTAGTCTCGCAGGGCCAGAAGTGATCACATAATGAGGCTACACATCTGGAGACAACTAGTTAAAAATTTTAGTAGTGGATGGCCACTAACAAGGCTACATCTACAGGATTTCCCTCTTAAACCTGCCCCCAAACTCTAGTACACTTTTAAAATCTGAAGGCTAATCAATAACACAGGCAAATCAACATCTTGCTCACCAGTGAAGCATTACCTGTGAATGCAGTAGCCAATTCTACCCACATCACATCATTTACTCCAGCTATGTCACTGTAACCATCCGACGGTAACGCATTCTTAGCTTTTATTACATGTTCGTCAGAGTTGGGGGTAAAGCAGTACAAAGTAACACATTACAGTAATGTGCTTTTTTTTCTATAACAAAGTAGTGTAACGCATTATAGTTTTAATTTCTGTAATCACGTTACAGTTACTGACATCAAAAAAATTATGTTACTTGTGTTACTCATGTCTCTAACAAAGAATATTGAGCATGATGCATTTAAAACATCAATTTCCTCTATATAGATTTTTTTCCTGTCTTTGTATGTAATTTGCATGTGCATTAGTTATCTGCGTCAGCTGATCGCTTGTCTTCAATTGTGGATACAAACAGAGCAGCACGAATTTGGGAATCTCTGCTCAAATCTCAGCTACAGACTTTCAGAAACAGCTCTGTAAGCTTTACAGTTTATTCATAAAGATTTTATTTCGACGCAGCTGTTTATGGACAGTTTCTAGTACCAAGGTTATTGGTGTTCAAACAGCAGTAGCCGTTTTAATCATTTTAATCAGCATAACCAGCTGTGTCCTGTTCAGCCATGACAGTAATAGGCCTTTAAATGATGTTTACTGTGACTGGTGCTTTCTTTCTAAATAAAGTACTGAACAGACTATTGTTTTTTTTCCTCGTACTTTCCATCTGACAGAGATTTGCATAGGTTTTAGACAGTAATGCAGAGGTAAAGTAAGGAGTAATTAAACTACTTTTTTCCAAGAAGTAGTAAGTAAAGTAATTGAATTACTTTTTGCACTGCTGTCCAGTGATGTGTTCTAGGCCTCAAATGTAAAACAGTACACTTTAACTGAATGTTTTTTACCATGCAAGAGATAACGTTTATTTTTAAATCCTGTAATGTGTTTTCCTTACATGTATCACACGTAATGCTTTTTGGAGTCTAATGTGGGCTATTCTAGCTAACTCCATGACACTAACAACTGCCTTTTTGACGGTCAGGCAATGTTGACAAGCTCACTACAGCAATTTCTTGTTTCAGATGTTGCAACTTCTTTGAGCCTAATAAATTTATGCTCCCACCCACATTTAAGCCAAATACCCTCATGGTTGTCTCCAGACATATATGCTTGCTATGAGATCACATTTAGCTCCTAAAGACTAGATCCTACACAGTCCTGTTTAGACATCAGTGTCTAGGGGTGGTGGTCTGTCCACACAAGGAGACAGTGAGTCCTGACTGTGAGTGGAGCTTATACCAGTGTCTGAGTCTGTGTCTGTAACATCAGTAGGAGAAAGGTTCTGCCTGAGCTTCCCTACTGTCTGCTGAGAGATGCCAGCCCTGATTGGGCTCTTGAGGGACACAGGGCTTGGTGGATCAGGGCAGTCCCCTAGCTGCAGTGAGCTCAGCTGGGCAATGAGGTGCTGATACTCCTGGTTTCTGGACTGCAGCAACTTGCTGTTGTGCTGCAGCTGTTTCTCCATATCCTGGGTCTGGGCATGGAGGGAAAGTCCTGCCCTCATGCTCAGATCCAGCTCACTGCGCAAGCCTTCAAGCTCTAAACATTCTGCAGGTGACAAAGTGAAGACAGGGTCCAGATCCACTGCAGGAGCTGCCGCTGCTGCCCCTTCTAGCTCATCAGAATCTACCATCCATATGGTTCTTTTCAGCTCCAGGTCAATGTCTCTGGACAGCTCGTCAATGAGTTCTTGATGCTGGCGCACCTGTAGATCCAGTTGTTCAACACCATTGCTGGTGTAAAGGTACTCCTGCAGTTGGTCCTCACACTCGAACATGGACAAGGAGAGCAACTGTTCATTAGAGCTTTCACTGAGGTCAGAGCCAGATAAGGAACTTTCCTTCAGCTGCTGCTCCATCTGCTGGATCTCCAGGTCCAGTTCTCGCATGTCGTGGATCTGCTGCCTGATGGTGTGGTCCTGGGAGATGATCAGCTGCACCATTTTGTCAATTTCCTCGCAACCCTCTGACGACCCTCCCTTCTGCATCTTCTCCAGCTTGCGAAAGGCCTTCTTCACCATGCGCTTCTGACGCTCCACAGGAAGGGTCTTGGCATACTGTGCTGGACCCTGCTCCCATCTCTTAGACCTGACCCCTCGGGACTTTGTGGCCCTCTTGGCACCTGTGGAGGATGGCACGAAGTCACTGGCCTTCACCAACACAAACTGGATAAAGGGTTTTTCCTCGCCCCAAGCATTCCACAGACGGAGGATACGGGTGAGAGGGGGCAGAGCCCTTTCAAAACCCTTCCACCTCTCCAGAAGACAGAACTCTTTAGGCTCTCCATGCAGGAGTCTCTTACTTTCCGGGATGGTTTTATGGTCTTCCAGTAAAGCCTGAACTACATCAGCGCAAGTCGTATGCTTGGTGACACCACTGACGATTTTCTCTTCTTGGCACACCAGCACTTGGATTTCCTTCCCTGGAGTGTTGTCTGCATCCTTAGTCCTGGAAAAGAAGAACAATTTTATTAGCATCGCTGAGGCATTTTTAGAAGCAATTTATTATCTGAAAGGAAACAGATGAGTGAATTGCTTGAATACAAACATCCTTAGTTACTGCCACTAAAATGTTCACCAAGAGAGCAATATTCAAAAACAGCTCTGCAAACTCAGCCAAGACAAACAGAAAATGATTTAGGTCAAAAATATGTCAGTTTTGTCATGAGAAAGAAATGCTCAACAGTCTTTTTATAGCCTTTTTATTTAACTGACAGATTTATGAACAATTTACTAATGAGACTGTGGACACAATTATTTCAGAACATCATCTAGGGCACTGGTGTGTAACAGTTTGTAAAGAGGTCTTTTTCAGAAGCTGGTATAAAAAGATAGATCATTTTCGTTAATGTGCTTTTATTTGGCTATTAGTATTTCACATAATGTTTCCTTTGGTCCATTTGTATTGTGAACAGTCCCAACCAAAATGATATTAAGAAAAGCCATCATTCTTTAATTGCTGGTTTATTTTACTAGTACAAGCAAGTATTTCACCCAGTCATTGTACCAAAATGATCTACGTTCTGCAGTACACATTGCTGTGTCCTGAGAAATGTAACACCCTAACAAAACCATTTCACCTTCTTTTGGCACAAATATTTAAGCAACATAAGAAACAATGCAGCTAGAAATTCCCCTGTTTGACCACATTTCTACTTCTCCCTAAATCCCAACAAAATCCCATGTCCACTGTGCCCAGTACAATTGTTTGTTGATCTGGCCTTTTCAGATTTACAGACCAGCACAACAGTATCTCAGTTTCCACAGGCCAGAAAAAAACACACAAGTGGTATATTGTGCGGACCTTGATAAAAGTCCCCAATGGAATGCAATCCGTATGCAAAACTGCAAGTGCTTGGTTAATGGTTAGAAGACCCTGAGAGTTCAATTAAGCCAAGTAAATACCTGAGCTGTTCACACAGCAAACAACTTGACATATCACCAACACACAAAGAGACCGTCTGGAACAACTCTGGAAAATGCACAGTGCTGCTGTTTCACCAGGCGTACTGTAGTGTGCAGTGACTGAGAGCAATGTTTAAAACTCCTGATGTTTGTAGTAATGATGCACGATATTATTGGAATCATATCAGTAGCTGCAGATACTGTAACTGCTTCAATAATCTATCAGCATTGGACAGCTGTTTAAATTTGACAGAAACAGTGGTAAAAGTTTGTGCACCCCTGGTCAAATGACATGTGAAAGTAAGTGAACACATTCTCTACAGAGAACACATTTAACACACAATTTTAACAAACATTGCACATTTTAATACACAGTTATTTCCTGAATTTAACATATTGGACAAAAAATAAACAAAAAGTATGGCCTGTGCAAACATTATGGCACACTGTATAATATATGTTTCATTTTTTTTTAATATGTCAAAATTGTCAAACTGTGTTTGAAACTAATATTTGATGAGTTATTTATTGTACTATTGTAAAATTTAGGTTATTCTGGACTACTAAGCTTTAATATCTGTGTTTTATTCATTTTACTGCATTTGTAACCCTACACAAATAAATGTTTCTTTGTAATGCTAATCCAGGTACATTTAGCCCCAGTATTTACATTTTATGAATGCGTATGCATTGGCATTGGCAGGTAAGTACATAAAAAGTATCAGATATCTGCATAGGTCCACCATTCCAATATACTGATGCACCCCTATTTTGTAAGCTGCTCAAAAGCTAACAGTGTTTCACAGTGATGTAAATATTAAGTTAAAAAATCTCATACAATGCAAACTGTCACTAATTAACATCTCTAATCCACAGACAGACAGTAATGGAAACAGTGCTCACTCTGTACTGTCTGAAGCCTCTGTCATTTATTGCATGAGTAAAACAGTCTTTATGAAACAGAACTGATTAGATGTCAAGCTTTTAAGTACAACATGGCACGTCACACATGCTGTATTATGATAATAAACTGCATGAGGTACTACTCATAATCCTAACTAATCCAGGTAAGGCATGTGTGGTAATGCTGGCAAAATGATATCATTTAACTGACATCATACTGGGAGTGAACCACCCCAGCACTTAATGACAGCTTGTGCACACGCACACTCCATGACACTCTGTCACAGTAAATACTTAGGGGGAGTGACCTGACTATCTTTCTTTAGCTATGAAAATAGCTACAGTAAAATGTACCCAGTAAAACAGTTACAGCAAGTGAGTTACAGCCTCTTTTTCAAACAACGAGTCAAATTTTGTTCTCTAAAAATGCTGAAGGTCCATTTAGCGTTTTCAAAGTTCTCATCTGTACAGGAAATTAACAGACGGAGGGGGCTGGAAGCACCTGTGTTTGTCTTGTGCAAAAATCAATGGACACCAGCAGCATCCTGTTACACACTTCCTGCCGACCGCGTTTACGCATTGTGAGGCCATGGAAAAATCTGAATTCCATTTCCATTCTAGTTTCAAAACAGAAAGAGGGATTTAAAGATGAGGTATAGGAAAATGCTATATGGAAAGCTAATTCTTTGAAACCAAAAGGCTGTATGTGAATTCAACAGTGTTTGAGTGCTGTGGCATAGAGGACCACAGGGAAAACCCCAGTGCACTTCTGAGAATAAGAATACTTACAAACTAGATTGTTGTGGAATGCAGATTAGGCTAATCTATTCCTGTTGTACCCTGATAAACTCAGTGAAGGTGAAATAAATGGTACATTGTGCTTTCCTTCCCGCTAAACAAACACCGTTAGGCCGGTGACCATTACATACAGACAGTGGGAGTGATACAGAGCACCTCTGTCCTCCTCCAGAGCTGACATTGTGCTCAGCCACAGAGCAGAAAGAACAAATGCCATTCACATGCTGCAGTGAACAGTTCTCAGCAACCTGTTGGATACAGACTGCCTTCTTAAAGATGTGAGAAACCAAAGGTTGTAGTAGGGAAACACATCTATATCTCTGTTGTTTAATGAATAGAAAATATAGGATATTTCAGGCATTTGGAGGTTTATGATTGCAAGAAGTGTATGATAATTTGCTAGGAATAAAAACTAAAGTACTACACTGGTTAGGTTATCTAACAGTGTTCTTCCACCAGACAGTCAACAGTGGTATGTACGTTTATTAATCTGTGATCACACACTTTGTTGTCATTTCCATTGTCAAGTGAGCCGTACCATACCCGAGAACCCATGCTAAATTTGGCACAGGTTCTCATTCTTGTCAGGGTTCCAAGCGTGCTGAGTGCCATTTACAACAAAAACACTAGCTATCTGGTCACAGGTACTCAAGCAGGGTACAGACACTTTTGGGGTGTAGATTTGTATCTCTACTGTGCTGGGACAGCTAAAAATGCACTGCCTGGTGGGAAAATACCATAAGCTTTTATAACAACTAGGGCTGCACCAGCATGGGAATTGTGGGCTGATGCCAATATTCGATTTCTTTTATGTACATTTCTGTTGATACCAATGCCAACGCTGATACATGCACCTTTAGGAAATGTCGAAATTGAGACTAGGTCCACCTGAATTAGCATTACAGAGAAATGTGGCGTTTATTGTATAAGGCATATTCAGTAAAATTAACACATTAATTCATTTAATGCATCTGAGGAATAATATCTCATTTCTTTACAAAGTTTTTTGCTATCAGTAGCTTAAATGAGTAACAGGGGTGAAAGTAACAGGGTTTTAGCAAGGAAATAGCAAACACACATAATGTGGTTAACTGACATTAAGGACATTCTAATGATTTATTAAAAATTATTATTTTTTAAATAAATAATTTACTTTCAATCTCTAACTTCGGTGACAAGGTTGTGTTCAGCTAACAGGGCTAAGTAACAGACATTTTTCTATAATTGCAAAGTAGAGTGTAGGTATGTTGTGCTGGGACAGCTAAAATACTGTTTTCTAAATGCAGTTTATTAATGCTTTAATTATTTGAAACATGCACATAGATTATTGTGAAGGACAATTTACACGTATTTTAAAATGCATTTTATCTTTACTTTACAAACATATATTACATATTCCCTTTTCATGAATAAGCTACATAATAAAACACAAAAACCTATATTAGATTCACATCAGGAAAAAACAAATGCCTAATATTCCATATGGACTAATAAGCTTTCACACTGCGTTAAACAAGAACATTTGTGGATGACTCTGGATAAATGTGTAAATAAGACATAGAATTCGGAAGGCAGTTTTGGTTTGGTGTGACATCAACAAGAAACAATTTTCCTGAATTTCCTGAATCTTATCTAAAGAGGATGAGGGTTTGGGGAGGAATAAACATGATGGCTTGTTGATCTCTTGCAAGACTTCTTTGCCAGATAGGCATCTCTAGGAAGACAAAACAGTCCCCTCCTTCCTCTGTACACAGCAAAATATCCACACCTGTAGTGCTGAACTGACACCTACAATATTAAATGAACACTTGTAGTTTCTTGAGTCTAGCTAGACACAAATGGACATTAGGAGTGAACTACACTGGGGATTTTGCCGTGAATAGCACAGATAAAACCAGACTTACTAACACTTGATCAATGCTTTGTAGATGGTTATTTTTAATTGGCTAATACTACAAAGTGATTTAACTGTCATAATAATATGTAACAGTGTAATTGTTATAATTTGACTGTCATAACAAAGTCTATCATACTGCTTATAAAATAACCACTAATGCTCACTGGCACATGACAGACATGCTGATGGCAGAAGATATAATACAGCATGTATAATAACCACGTCTGGCAAAGCAGTGATTTACTTCAAAGCCTGCTTGTGATGGACTATTCCTGAACATATTCAGAGCAATCATAAAGCAAACATGTCAATGAATAAAATGATCCACCAAGCAGGAGACACCCTTCACGCACCACATGAAATAGCAGACAATCGGAGTTAAGTTACCTCTGATCTATTTTCCATCTGAACACTCAAGATAATTATAGTCTGTGATACTTTAAAGCTAATCATACTGTAGCATAAAAACACCACATTCTTAAAGTGTCTTTGAATAGGCTGTTAAAAGTCCATAATATCTGGCAACACTAATGCAGCCCATAGCATTTTCAAGTCATATTGTACACATCTTCTAATTAGTGAATTAGTGATACACCCGTTGCTGCACCAACTGCACACAAACAGCTTGTGTAATTTCCATAGAAATGCATGAACAATAAAATGGGACTCTATGGAGCAGCTACACATCAGCCTAAGGTCACCATATCCAATGCCTAATGTCAGTTAGAGGGGTATTAAAGTCCCCCAGCACTGGGCAGTGGAACAGCAGAACTATGTTCTCTGGAGTGATCAAGCTCCATCCTGTACCTTTGGGATGAGTTGGAGTTTGTGACCCAAAATTAATCATCCAACATCAGTACCTGACCTCAGTAATGCTCTTGTGGGTTTTATGCAATCAAATCCAACATATATTGTGTATCACTGTATTATCCTCAGAAGAGCAGATACCTCCTAGTAACACCCTTGATTTTAGAAGAAATTTAGAGTCTACTTTTGGACAGTTAGTGTAGATAGCACTACTTAACCCCTCAAATGGCCAGGGCCCAATGGCGGGCCCAGAGTTTTACAACACAGTCTGCATTGAGGTCCCTGTAGTTACTGAATAATAAACTGTGCAGGTATGGATAGCACTTTTATCTATGCCACTATAAACACTTGGACTAAAGACAACAATCCTCAGGCCCACCTGGAGCCACTGGGACATCAAAAGTTAAACAAGCCACTTGTGGAAATTGCAAAAGCAATTATATGGGTGTCGATGACAGGATCTCTCTGCACAAGAACCAAGTATGCTCTTTACATTTTAAAGGGATCAAACCATAATAACAGTGTAGGTTCAAGCAAGAAAGGCCCAGTTTCTCAAAACACTTATGATTTCAGAAAAAGAACAGATGTTTTCTCTATCACCTCAAGATGATATTTGTATTAGCACATGAAACAGCCCAGGAGGACTTTACTGGATCATTTCTGTGTTCGTTTTGATGGAAAACTCTCTCTCTCTCTCTCTCTCTCTCACACACACACACACACACACACACACACACAAGTACACACAAAGCACCTGCCTCCAAGTAAGCTGAACAACAGCACCTTGGTAACTCTACCGCTGGCGCCCATACAGTTGAACAACACTGTACTGTATGCAGCTTCTCTGGTTACAATAGCAAATGCATTTATCTTTTGTGTTAGCTACACGAATCTCTCAGCTCATTCAACCTCTCTTTCCACTGACTACAAACTGGGAGACGAAAGCAGAAAGTGTCCTTTCGATAAATTCTATCTTTTACTTCTGTGTCTGACTTTCATGAAAGTGATGAAGCGCTGAGTGAGGGTCGAAAACGCCCGACAAGAACAACTCGAAATCCTAAGAAAAGGTGAGAAAAGGAGGGCTACCTGTTTTTCAGGCGCGCTTTCAGAAAGTTTCGTCCGAATGGCGCCATTGCTCAAAACCTCAGTCAGGCTGAAGCTCTCAGCTCTCAGTTGGGGTCCATTGCGAAGAGTAGTAAGGTTAATCTCTGAGCGGCGGGACTCACGGAGTGAGAAAAGTTGTAGAATTTGTGAGCGGTGGAGGAGTAAAGGCAGGGCAGGCTAGTTAGCAGAGGGCCGTCCCAAAGCGCAGAGGGAGGTGACCTAATGGAGGAAACAGAGCCGAGCCTCAAAACGAGCCTCAGCACCTTTACCTGCTGTTTTATTAAAGAGTCTCGCCGAAAGCGCCGAACAACGACATAAATCAGACCTGCGTTCTCAGATTAGCATGAGAGCTAAACACGAGCGTGAAGTGAATAGTTTTAGAACACATATTGCCGTTCAGCGCACTCTGCCCTCCTCCAGTCTGCACTGAGCTGCCCTACAGGAAAAAGTCCCCTGCTGAATTAGCCTCTCTAGCAATATTTATTTCGGTCCAGCTGGACATAAATTAACACTGAAGTGTTCAACACTGTAAAAATGATGGGTTAAATTGCTCTTTGTCTGGTTAAATGTTTTTATATATATATATATAATTTTCATATTTTTATGACTTTGTATATAGGCCTGTCACAATTAGTACATAATTGCCTAAATGCAATTATTTAAGCTGACTGTAGACACTTTATACAGTCATTAGATGGCATGTTATGCCGCAACAAATTGGATACTATAGCAACCGCCTTGCCACACCTTAGCAACCACTTGGGATACCATAGCAACCACTTAGCAACACCTTAGCAACCACCTGGGATAGCAGCCCTGATAGCAAACGTATAGATCCACTGGCCTGACAAGTTTTGCATCCTGCTGACTGTATGCCACCCTCGGACCACCCAGATTATTGTCCTGCATACAAATTGTAATTAGATTTTAATCTTCTTAAACAGATTTTAAATGCAAACAGCCTTTTATTTTGGAAAATAAAATAGAAGCAAACAATCGACAGAAAAAAAATGAATGACTAGGCCTAAAATGAAAAAATTTTTTGGAAAATGTTGTTGCTGACACTTTGCTACATTGGTTAGCTGTATAAACGGCTGTATTTATGATACTGTTGTTAAAATTATTTACTAAACTAATTTACAAAGGATAAAAAAAGAAATTAAGAAAAAAATAAGTAAATAGCACTTGGAGTGGAAAATGAGTGCTGAAAAGTGGCATTTTGTCTAATATTTTGCCAGTGGGCCACCAGCCGTGCCATCAGAAGGCCAACAGTGGCCTGCTGTCCTCTTGCTATCTGGGATAGCAACTTCTTAGCAAAACACAACACAGCAACAAATTAGCAACCACCTTGGACAGCATAGCAACTGCTTAGTAACACCTTAGCAACCACTGATTGTGTTGGGTCGAGGCAAATAAACATAAATTAAAGAAAGCAGTTAGCTGCAGTAAACATAGCTAGCAAGTAAGGTTTCTCATTTGACTCATTTGGCCACTTTAGACTTGTATTTTAATATTTGCAAACAGTGAACAAGAAAGGCAATTCAATTGTTAATCATATGACAGTTAACCATCAACTAAAATTTTGTGATTGTGACATGCCTAGTTGTGTACCACACATGTATGTGGTTCTTTCAAGAACCTTTAAAGGGCCCATTTCATTGAAAACTGAATTTTCTTCACTTTGCTAAAATAAAATACTTATTTTTTCTACATAGTGAAATTTTCATTTAACTCTCTGTGTTTTTATTCTACCTGATTTAACGCTGTAGGTGTTCATTTTACTTGATTCCACACTGTAAGAGGCCAAGGCTATAGCTGTTCATTCTACTTCATTTAACACTGTAGGTGTTCCTTTCATTACTAGGGGTTTTGCTGTGCATGTTCTTGCAGTAATTAGACTGCAGGAGAGTGATGTCCAGTGGGAACCAGTGATGAAGGCTGGAATGGAGACTAGCTACAAGGACTGAACTGTGGGTCAGAATCACAGTTCAGATGCACTACACTGACTTTCTATCTTTGCTCTCATATGAAACGCAAGGACACACGTTTAAACAATGCAAGAAAATAAAAAAAATAGAAAACTAAAAGCATTATCAGAACATTAACACATAGTAGTCTAGCCTTATTGCTGCTGTTTTGCCATACTGTTTAAATGTAATTATATAATTAATCACATTGTTAATTATATCCAGAAATGCATTTACACTTGATTTATGTTCTATATCAATAGATTCAAGTCTGCGCTTCTGAGTTTTTTCATTAGACATCAAAAAATGACAAAAATGTAAAAAATTAAGAGAATGTTTTCCTTTCGGTTTCATTAAATTCAAATCTCTTCATCCACCTACAAACACAAAATGTGGCTTTTATTAAAAGTAAAGACTCAGCACTTTCAACAAAATCAGTGTGGTATGAATACAAAATTGTTAAAGCAAATTTGTAAATTGCTTTTGTTATTGCTTTTGATAACTGGCTAAAAAATTCCATACACATGGAATTAGAGCTGCCATAGTAGATATCTGTCCCTAGCCAGTTATATTTTATATCAGAGTGCATTATATTATAGCAACCTGCTTGTGAAATATTCATGTCCCCTGTTTACCACCTTCAGACAGAACTAATGCAAATAACTCACCCAGTATCTTACTTTCATTCCTTTCATCATTGCTTCTTTAGTGACGAATCACAAACTCACTTGAGCCTTTCAACCCCAAAAAAGGAGAAATGCGTATCATGCGAGCATATAGAAGTTTTGACGTCAGTCGCCAAAGTGGCCAAGGTGGTGTCACCTGATGTCGTCATGAGCTGGACGGGGAGCTGATGGAGAGATGAATAAACGGGGGAAGGATGTGGATAGGGGAGGGAGGAGGTGTAATGAAGCAGCCCCTGTGACATCACTCCAGTGCTTATATACTGGGGGAATGGAGCCCACCGGTCCTGAACAAGCTGAGAGAACACGCAGTGCTCAGGCTGGATAAGAAACCAGGAGCAAAGCGCCTGCTGGACCACTTCTCTCCCAACTCATCTCCATTTTTCTCTCTCCTTCATTCTGTTTCACCCTCTCCAATCTTTTTCTCCCTCCTTGACCTTTAACCTTATGGACTCGGGCCTGGCCTAAAGCTGTGAAGTCTGCAGGATTGTCAGCAAGATGCAGGTGCAGTTGACATTCGTGGTGCTCTTCTGTTTGATCTGCAATGGACTGAGCTCAGGTAGGAACATCAGTCGCTGCACAGGCAGTCCTGGGCTCTCTCACAGACTGCATTTTTTTAGGTATTGTGTTTTGTATCACACTTGATTCTACTCATCTAGTAACCCTTTTGTGACTCCTAACAAAGTTTCTGATAAAGACAGACCAGAAGAAAATCAACATGGTGCATGGGGTGTGCAGGACCACCGATAAGAGCCACTGATTTAGGTCATAGCGAGGTTTTATTTATAAATATACTATGGTTTTATATATATATAAAAAAAACATGCTAATTATTAGCCACCAGTACTAGGTATTTGTTGATTCATTTATCAAAAAGCAGAAAAGAAAGATGCATACATTGCATTGTATTTACATCCTGTTCAGTGTGATGTGAATTACATTTACATGTTTAGGGAAAACATTAAAATGTGTTTTATTTCATTTAATGCTTCATATAATTTTTTCTTATCAAACCAATCATCTGTGTCAGGTGCCAAATTCTCAGTCTTCATATGCAGACTTGCTCAAAGGGAAAGGGAGAGAGTGAGTGAGAGAAAGAACTACACTGACAGTTTTATTGAACTGTGTCCTGATAAAATGAGTCCACACTGCATTTCCCCTGAAAAACAGCATGAAAATAAAGAAAGATCACATAAGTTTAAACAGAAAAGATGTAACTGAAGGTCTATAATCTGTAAGTAAGTGCACCTGAAATCAGAGAAATGATGTAGAATCTGCTGCGTCTTTTTGACTGAAAAAAAATGACTTGCGTCGGCTTATTGAACACCACCAGCCCAGCTGAAATTACAGCACATTTATTTGACTTGCACTGAGTGCAGAGTGAATTTATTGGACATATTTTGGGTCTAAACTGAAGATATTTCAAACATGATCTTTGGGTGGGTCTTCACCATCCACCTGATTCACCTGTGCTCATTTTGTTTTACTTACACTCTGTTGTTCTGTAAGTTTACTTATGGCTGTGATTTCCAGATCTTGATGAGGGAAAGGATGCGATGGAAGAGGAGATGCTGAGCAGTCTCTTCACCTCAGAGGTACAGTTATGGTTTCTTTACACCTGTTTTCTTCACTTTCAGTTCAGGCTCGTTCACTTTAAAACATTCAAATGTTCACTGATGTATCATAAAGAGAGCTCTCAGAAGTACAAAGAGTTCAGGTGCAGGACAGCTGTTAACAGTGAAAGTGAGTATAAAGCTGGCTTAGGAATCAGCAGGAAGTCTCTTATCTATTGATTTGCCCTTTGACAGAAGGACACACGAGCCAACCTTGCTGTAGGCCACCATGACTTTCATCAGTCTCTGTAAGGTTTGTCAGAAATAGGCCTTTTTTAAACTTTGGGACCAAAAAGCTTCTAAATGTCGGAAGGTAATGATAATATTAATAAAGAATTAAACAGCTAATTTTTTGTGATTTTTTAGTGCAGTATAATTGATTGCCTGTTAAATGAAAACAATATGAGAGTATTTTGCCAAGGGCTCCTGAAATAAGACATTATCAATCTGCTAGAATTTTACATTCTTCCATTCCCCACAATAAATGTAATAGCCCCCTGTCACATCATAGATAATTCAGTAGAATGAAAATACAATCTTCACTTACCAGTTTTACTGATCACTTCAACAGTGAAAGGCACTTCTAAATAGCATATATCACTTCATTGATCGGCTTACTGACAGTTTACCACAGATTACTAGACTGTATATCACAACGCCTAGAAATTCAATAACAGGACACCTACAGATTCAAAGAGATTGTTGTACTGCTGCAATGCACAGTCAATGGTACTTAAGCCAAGGGCAGCGCAATCAAATGGTAATGAAAAACAGAGCTTTATGATCCATTGCTGAGCAAGGTGACATGCCTTTGGCTGCGATCATACACAGCTGCCTCGTGCCGGTCCATTGAGCAGCGTTTTACAATAACAATTGCAGGTGGAGAGTGTGACGGACAGCCCTAGCATTATGATACTTTCTACATGCATTTGCCTAACTGACACAAATTGTTCAAAAGCAGAGGTAGGTTGGATATGTGTAATTGCATGGAATCAAATTAAGGACATACTTACTTAGAGGATTTAGATAAAGTGCACTTTGTTAAAGGAATCTCTGCTTGCAGGGTCTGTAGCATATGATTGATCATGATTGATTGAGCAATCATTTTAATACATTTCTCTGCACAGAGCAAAAAACTCATTGACTTGAAACACAGCACCTTCCCACTTGTTTCAGCATCTGCCCATTGGCTTCTGTTATTGGCT